ATCTGTAATCCTTGGAAACACTGGGAATGTGTATGCACAAGAGGCGTCAAGTTCTTTTAAGATTGTCATAGGATGGGCTTTTTCCCAGAGTGTATCTTAATCTGTATTAGTCTTTCATTGTACATTTATTCTTTTTTCTTGGCAGTACTGGAATGGGACTGAACCCAAGGGGTTATACATGTTAGGAAAGTGCTCTACCATTGAGCTCATCCCCAGTCTTATTTTGGTAGTTCTTGAGTTATCAACTGGACCAGAGCTCCATGGGGATAGCATTTCTCTCTTTTTATTTTGTACTGGGGATTGAACTGAGAGGTACTTTACCACCACTGAGCCACACCCCAGTCCTTTTCATTTTTTATTTTATTTTATTTTGTTTTTTAAAGAGAGAGAGAGGAGAGAATTTTAATATTTATTTTTTAGTTTTCGGTGGACACAAGATCTTTGTTTGGTATGTGGTGCTGAGGATCGAACCCGGCCGCACGCATGCCAGGCGAGCACGCTACCGCTTGAGCCACATCCCCAGCCCTCATTTTTTATTTTGAGACAGGGCTGCTTAGAGCCTTGCTAAGTTGCAGAAGCTGGCCTCAAACTTGTGATCCTCCTGCCTAAGCCTCCAGAGTTGCTGGGATTACAGGTGTGCACTGTAGTGTTTGGCCCTCTATAAGGACAGTTTTGCTTGCTGTTGTCTGCCCAGGGCTCTGCTCAGGGCTTGGCACATGATTCATACTCCAAAATGTGTGCTGAGGTGGAATCCTTCATTAAACCCTGGGCTGACCTTTTTCTCACTCCCTTTCCCAAAGAGTACAGCTGTGTTTCACAGTACTCCTCCTTGTTCTAGAGAACCCTTGCACCACAGCCCACGCCCCAGAAGTCACCTGGAATGACGATATCTCCGAGTCCCAGCATAGCAAAGTTGTCTGCTTCAAGGCCCTTCTCCAGCAGGTCCTGGGGAAACACCACTGCAGGGAGAGAGAGGGGAGGAGTTGGCTGGAGCCCAGCTTACTCAGACTCCCCAACCCCACCCCTGCTGTATGAAATGCACACATCTGTGTTTCTCGGGGGCAGGGGGCTGATGATCGCAGGCCTGCTGGCAACAGCTCCATCTGGAATCACAGCTGGTTAGAGTGGGGAGAAATCTGGGGTCAACTAGGCTGAGGGTTTAATGCCTTTGTTGACCACACAGTTCTGACATCCATAGGTTTTCCATCTGACAACAGGAGTGTGGACAGATGGCGGTACTTGTTCTGAAGCAGTGTGAACCTGGGCTATGGACTCTTTATGTACCAAGGGAGAAAAGGCCATGCCACTGCAAATTCCTTGATTAAAGTCCCTTACTCAGAATCCTGCTGCAGCTGTTAGCAGGGAAGTGGTTACAAGTGGGCTTTAGGACCGGCGCCTGGCTCTGCTGTCTTGTTGCACAGGTTACTCAGCTGCCTTAGTTTTCTTACTTGGAAGCACTCCCACGGGGTGGTACTGAGGGTTAGATAACCTGAACCACAGTACTGGCTGCTATGCCATGTCTTCTAACCCGTCCCCGATTTTGTATCTTCCTGGTGGTGGTTTGAATGTGGTGTATGACTATGCCAAAGAGGACAATCCTGTTTCCAGAATTCCCGCCTTTCTTTGTGTCTAGGGGTGTTTACACGACTCAGCTCTGGGCAACACTATGCACATGGAGGTGCCCTGGGGCTCGTGCTAAAATGCAGAGATATCCCCTGTCTATGTCTCCCTTGTTGAATGGGACTCGAACCCATTTAGTATGACCTTCAGCATATGTGCTGTTTTTTTTTGGTACCAGGACATGACCACTGAGCTACATTGCCAGCCCTATTTTGTATTTTATTTTATTTTTGGTGCTGGGGATTGTACCCGGGGTGCTTAAACACTTAAGCCACATCCCCAGCCCTTTTTAAATATTTTATTTGGAGACAGGGTCTCACTGAATTGCTTAGGGCCTCACTAAGTTGCTGAGGTTAGCTTTGAACTAGCAATCCTCCTGCTTCAGTCTCCCGAGCCTCTGGGATTATAGGCTTGTACCACTGCGCTGGGCTTTTGTATTTTATTTAGAGACAGGGTCTCATTGAGTTGCTTAGCGCCTCGCCATTGCTGAGGCTTGCTTTGATCCTCTTGCCTCAGCCTCCCAAGCAGCACCACCTTCCGGGTAGCACGTGTGCTTTGCTATTGTTGTTGAAGATGGGGTCTTGCTGTGTTGCTCATGCTGGCCCCGAACTCTTGGGCTAATGTGACTTTCCCGCTTCAGCCTCTGCAATAGTTGGTACTACAGGTGCTATCATGCTTGACCAGCATCTGTGCTCTTAATCATTCAGCTCTTGAGCCTCATTTCTAGAAGACAAGATCTAGGCCAGGTGCAGTGGTACATGCTTATAATTCCAGCTATTTAGGAAGCTAAGGCAGGAGCATTGTTAAGTTCAAGGCTGGCCTGGTAAACTCAGCAAGACCCTGTCTCAAAATAAAAAATAAAAAGGGCTCAGTGGTAGAGCACCTCTGGGTTTGATTCCCAGTACTGCAAAAACAAACAAACCAACAAACTTTAAGACAACAGATCTCCCCAATCTAGAAAATCAGATTCCAAGCACCAGAAACTAAATATGAAAGTGTCACTTCCCTGTTCAGAGCCTTACAATGGTTCGTCCACTGCTTAATGGGCAGTGTCAAGTTCTTAGGCAGGAAATCTTGGCTTCTCCAAATCTGGCTTGTCTCCCTCTTTCCAGTCCCTTCCTTGCGGCCCTGCTGAACTCAGCTGCACTTCCTCTGTGCCTCTGTAGTTCTTTGCTCCCAGGGTGTCCCATGCGTTTTCCTGCTTCTAGCCCTTTGCTGAAGTGGTAGACTCTTCTCAAATACCCATGCTACCCTTGAATCCTTGGTAAATGAGCATTTCTTCTTTGCGACCCAGGAAAGGTACTCCTGACATCCTGGCTGGGATCGCCAGGCTCCCCCATCCCTGGGCTCACCCATCGTAGCTTGTGGGGCATGAATTTCATGTGGTTTGTCCAGTATCTGTGTCCTTACTTTAGAGAACAGTCCTCCCTTCCCTGATAAACTTAGTTCTGGAGGCTGCCAAGTCATACTCTGACTCCTGGCCTTGGGGAGGACAGTAAACCAGGCCTGGGGAATGTTGACCACCTTCCTGATACTATCTTCTCCTTCCTTGCTATCTTGTCTGACTGGTTCTGGCCCCCTTTGAGCCTCGTGACCCTGGAGGGTGATTTATGGTTAGTCTAGGGCTGAGACTCCAAGCTAATCGCGCTTTTCCTATCTCCCTTTCTAAAGCCCAATTTGGACTTGGGTCTGTCCAAATCCCAATATTGGTCAGTAAAACATGAAGGAGGCTGAAAGGGGGATTTGAGGAGAAAGACCCCTTCCCTGATGGGACACAGTTTCCCCTTTGAGCCTCTGGACGTGGCCTGTGAGAAGCCAATGCCAGGAACTGTCATTCCATCTAGGGACCATGAAGGACTGAGCCAAGTGACAAGTGGACGGAGATTGGTGGGTTGGGTGAACCAAAATAACCCTGGCTCTTGGTGACTCCACTGAGGGTCATTAACCCACCCCTGACATTTCCTAGACCTGGGCTTGCTGTAGTATAACCAAATTTCCCCCTTCTTTAATGCTGCCAATAGTTGGGACTCCCCCAACCCTTTTCTTTTTAGCTGTGTTGGGGATTAAATCCAGGGTCTTGTGCATGCTTGGCAAGTGCTCTATCATTGGGCTACCCTCCTCACCCCCACACCTATTTGGACTCAGGTCTGTCTAAATCCCAATAATGGTCAGTGAAACATGAAGGAGGCTGAAAGGGGGATTTGGGGAGAAATACTTATGAACAATGGTTATGCTGAAGAACAAAACTAAGGCTGTGTAAGATGTGAGATGGGGAATACTGCTCTCAGTTCTCAGCACAGAGGTCTCCTGTTCTGGAAAGCCCCTGTCTGCCCCCCAACAGGCTGTTCCCCACTCCTGCTCATTTACCACTACACTGCAAGCAGCCCAAGGTCAGGGCCTGGGCAGAAGGCAGCTACTCATGAACACAGCCAAGAGAATCCATGAAGAAAAGGAAACCAGGCTGGAGAGACCCATGAGATCTTGGAGGAGGAAAAGGTATGTGAGGAGGAGATAAGGGAGAAGTATTGACCAAAACAGGGACCATAAGCCAACTGGGGAGGGCAGGGTGTGTTCCCCACTGCGGGGTTGATCACTTACATTTTATTGGCGCCTCAAATGACTTGGCCACAGTCACCATAACGTTGGTACCGAACACCTGGAGGAAGAAGAGAGGAGTCTGAAGGGAAGTGAGGGGCTAGATGGGAAAGAACAGTTGTCCTTGGACTTCTGGATGTGCTGCTGCCTGACATGTATGGGGAGTGGGACAGGGGGCTGGCAGGCCCAGAGCAGATCTGAGGTTGAGCAAGGTGGCCACTCATCCTGGTTCTGAGCAACAAAAAGAACTTCAAAGGTGACTGCCCCAGCCAGGTAGCCTGTCTGTTCAGGGTTCTGTCCCTTCTGAGAGATAAAAACCCTGGGCACAACCCACCCCATGGGAGAAGAGACCACCTGGGTCCAGGGAAAGTGTGCTTGAGCTGGGTTGACCTCAGTCCCTCAGTGGGGCCTCACAGAGTGAGTGTGGTAAGTCTTGAAGCCCAGGGCTGGTGTGCAGCCAGAGCACAGCCGGCCTGTCCTCTAGGTCAGGGACCTTGATGGACCCATTCTACCGCCCTTGTCTGAACATCCCTGAGCCTCAACTTGGTTTTTTACAGAGATGTGGGATTAAGTTATGCTTCTGCCAGGGCCATGAGGGTGGGTGAATGTCCCCGGGCACTGAGTGCGATCTTACAGATTGCCCCCAAGAGGACCAGCTCTGGGGTACTGACTTTTATCAGACAACTGCCATTTGGGCCAGAGAGACAGAGGAATAGGGAGGTAGGAGGTTAAAGCTGGAAATCCTCGGTGTCTCTGCTGACTCACCCAGAAGACGTCGTAGATGAAGAGTCCACCCAGCAGGATGCAACCGGTGCTGACGTTGTTCAGGTGCAGAAGTTCCACCCCATTAAGGGAGAAGGCCAGGCCAAAAAGATTGTTGGCAATCCAGTGCTGGGGAAAGGAAGGGGTGAGACCAGATCGCTGTGCCCCCATCACCCCAGCCTCCCTTTTTGCTCAGGTCTAACTACTTACCTTCCGCAGCAGGTACCAGACGCCAACGATGCTGCTCAGGCCCAGGCACACCAGGTCCTTAGTGTCAAACTCATAGTTGACGATCTCTGGGCAGAGAAGCCAGGTAAGTCCACTCCCCAGGGCGGGACTGTCCCTCCCACATGTCAGCCTCTGGACTGAGGAGGGCATGGCTGTGGGCACTGTCAGAGGCCCACAGGCCCAGGGGCTCAGCTGAGGCTGCCCCAGACTGGTGAGAATATTATGATGGGGAGAGCTCACTGGAGCCTCCCCTAGTCCCCCAAATTTTCTAGAGAAGGTTAAAGAGACCTAGAGAGAGTACGGATTTAATACAGGTTCAGTGGGAAGTGGTCCTTGGTGCTGGAAGCACAGGCTCTGCCACTGGTAGCTAGGTAACCTTAGGGAAAAGCAGTTCCCTCTCTGAGCTTCATCTGTGAAAAAAGGCAATAGCACCTCCCTCATAGGGCTGCTATGGGAGTGAGTCTGTCCTTACAATGTCCTTAGCACAGTGCGGGGTACACAGCAAGTACTCAATGCCAGCTGTTACTGGTCTTTAGCAAGGTCCTAGTACATTCTGGAAACTCTACTTTGCTACCAAAGAAATCAAGGTTATTGGCACCCCTAATTCATTAGCAGAGGAAGAAGAAGGAAAGAGATGGAGGACTGGAGAAAAGGCAGGAGGGAGTTCCTGTTGCTGCTCTTGTGGGGAGCCCCCGGTAGACATCCGGATGTCAGACCCATTCTCAGTTGCTTCCAAGCTTCCTAATGAGGAAGCCCAGAGAGGTGGTGAAGGTTGGCCAGGGTCTCAGGGTGCAGTCACTCCTTCCAGATTCAAGTGCAGCAGATTGCTGCTTGTCCCCCAATTTCTGTTTTCTCCTCTGTGGTAAGAGCACCCTAGTTTTTTTTGTTTTTGAGGCATCTGTTGAATTTATTCAGCATAACCACAGAGGCATCGTCACCATGCTGTCACAAACAGACACAAAACACAAATACGACACAATATCCATATTTAGCACGAGTGGATTTCTTCTAAGGCTCATTTATATGTCTTCATGTGCCACAGGCCATCATTTAAATAATGGATATTTTCAATGCCGATTCCTTTGTTGACTTTCTCGATATCTTCTGCAGACATCTTCATGACTCCGACACACAGAGCGTGCTGTTTTCCTTCTGCCATGACCGCAACAATTGTATCTTCCGCGGCGGGATAAAGCTTTGCGCCAGAAGAAGTTAAACCCGGGCACATGATATTTGCGCCACTGAGCACAAATTTGATGGCTCCTTTATCAACCTGCTGGTGTGGCAGGATGAAAGGGTATTTGTGAAGTAATCTTAAGGTTGGGTAAAAAGGCCCTTTTCTTTGTCTAAAAAATAGTAACTCTCCATTTACCGTAAGGATTTCCATATGCTCATGGCATCGGACTATTTTGACGGGATCTTTCTTCGGCATGATTTGATTAAGCCATGGCTCGATACCTGGAAATTGCTCTATCAGTTGGTTCTTGATGCCCTTAATAACTGAAGTTTTCAACTGGATGCAGTTGGATACATTTTCCTTTTCGTCAAATTTCTTGAACATGATCCAAGGCGAAGGAAGTGGTGCCGACTGGGGTGGGCAGCAACGAGAAAAAATGAGATGCGGCCAGTGTCCGATGATCTCCGTGCTCCAGGAAGGCCGGTGCGGATGGTCGCGGCCGTTGTCGCTAACCGGAAGACGGGTCAGCCGGCCGCGCTTTACGGCCCCGTAAAATGGACTACTTCCGCTGCTCTGAACCCCACGTCAGCGCTCGGCCGGATGTTCTTCCCACTAGCGATCCATTCCAGTGGGGGCAGCGGAAAGGGCGGGGCGTGGGCAGGAAGGAGTGACGGAGCAGCCGGTCAGGTGGCCGGAAGACTCTAGGGGCGCGGCTGGTGGTTCCTAACTGGACACGCTGCTGATGGTTCCTAACTGGACATGAGGCTGACCCGCTCAGGTCATGTTCTCCACCTTTCTCCAACACCCTCTGTAGCTAAATGAGCCCACGACAGGGATGCCTATCCTTCCCTCTGGCTGCAGTGTGAACTGATGGTAGACATCTCGGACCCGGGGGGGGGTTCACCACTGAGTATGGCAGAGCTTGAGACAGATGGGGCTTGAGACCCTACAGACTCTACGGGGCAAGCTTAGCTTTTTAAAAGAAAACCCCATCAATCATTTATTTGGCACAGATGCACTAGAGATGCAGAGAGGGATCACAACATCGCTGCGCTCTAGGGACAAAGCAGGATACGCTAGGCACCAAGAGAGTGATACCTTCTGCAAGCTTAGAATTTCGGGGGACGAGAAAGAAAGAGAAGAGGGAGATCTTCCATTTGGTTAAGCCATTGATGATCTTGCTGTATTTGAACCCAGGCTGTAAATAACCTGTTAATCCCAGCCTCTCTTAAGGTCTCCATGGTTTTCATTAAAACAAACAAACATACAAAAAAACAAAACAAAAAACAAAAAAACCCCCCAAAACTGTGGAGTCTCCTTTTCCAAAATTTTAGGTGTGACCGTAATCACACTAAAAATAGACCCTATAAAATGGTCACGACAGAGGGGTTTTACTGAGTGCTTATGTGAACCAGGCAGTGTGCTGGGTGCTTTCCACTCATTTATTCCTATTCCTAATAATTGTGCCTATGAGGAAGGTGCTAAATTATCATTTTTACTTCATAAATGGCAGGGGAAAACAAAACAAAAAATCCCCAACAAAATCACCCGGTGCTCAGGGAGGTAAGGCATTCACCTAGAGTCCCATGCCTAGGTGGTGGCAGAGCTGGGATATGAACTAAGCCATGAGATTCCAGAGCCAGCCTCTTCCATCACTTATACTACTGAAGAACCCAATATTGGAAAGACAAAGGGGAGTGGAAGGGAAGACACCCAAGACATACCACAGGGAAAGTGGGTGGCACTGACCTTCCTTGTTTTCCCCAGAGCCCTGTGTGAAGAGCAGCTGAAACTGTCGATTTGGGAAGCTGGCTGGAAAAAACTTATTCATGAAGGGGCTGGAAGGAAAGACAAAGCTGGTCGGCAAACACAGCCCCCATGGGCGACCACGGCCCTCATAACCCCCACCAAGACCCATTTAAAGCTCTATCTCCTGGCACCTCACAGCTGCCCTGCCAGGTAGGTGCTATTGTTCTCACTCTATAGATGAGAAAACCCAAGTTCTTAACTTGCCCAGGGTCACATAGGGAGATAACGTCTGAGCCGAGATTCAAACCTAGGTGTCTGAACTCTTAGTAACTTCTATATCGCCTCTTTATTTTACCACACACAGATACAGAGTTTAGGCAGACAGACTTTTGTGTAAAACAGTTTTTAGATGAGTCAGGGATTCCCAAGTCTGGCCCCCACACCACCTATATGAGAGCCCCTTGTCAAGAAGCTCATTCCTGGGCTCCTTTCTAGACCTACCAAGTCGGATGACCTGATAGTCACCCCACCCCACTCCAGAATTTGCTATCCTACTTTCCAGCAACAGGCTGAGTTTTACAAATACAGCTGGAATTGATCAGCCAGATGAATCATAGCCCCCAGGGCAGGATTACCCCCATATTCACTTCTTCCATGAGGCCTCACTTGCTCAAGACCAGCCTGGCCTCATGATTACCCAGTGTGCCCCACTTCCTGGCCAGGCAGGGAACAGATGTTATTTTCCACACCATCTTCGGAGCAAGATAGCCTACAAAGGCCTCTTGGCCCAGCCTGGTCTTGGGATTGGTAATACTGTGGAGCGGCTACCAGCCTTGGCAACCCAGGCCTGAACCCTGCTTTGCCACACACCAGCAGTGTGGTCCTGGGAGAACCACTTCAGTGGCAGAGTCTTCTTGGGCTTCAGTCTCCTCACCTGTACGTAAGATCATAATACTACCTGTCTCAAATGGTTGTGTGACGATAGAAAGCAGGTAGATGAGCGGTTTAGCCCAGCCCTGAGTCTTGCAGCAGGGATGTTGAAGAACTGTGAACTTCTGTCATGGTGCACTCTTCTAGAGCCTCAGCTTGAAAGCATGTGACATCAGATCAAGTTGGTAATGAGGAAGGCAAATCCCAACTAACAAGTAAGCTGAGGAAGGCAGGAGGTGCCCAGGTCACAGTGGTAAAGGCAGGGATAAGGGAGCTCTCTTTTTAATAGCTTGCTGGCTTGAAGAAGGATGTGGATTCAAGAGTCATCTCTGGGCCTGTTTCCCCACTTGCCAAACTGCTGATCCTTCAAAGCCTACCAGGGCTTAGGTGTGAATATGAGAGGCCTTGTAAAAAGTGATGTGGTGGGCACGGCCTGGGGTCAGGAGGCAGCTTCCATAGCACAGTTTTGGGGTGGGAGGCAGAAGCTGGGATGGAGAGACTAGAAGCTACTTTCAGCTCAGTTTGCAGAAATTGCTTTTGGGGAAGTCTAAAATCAGGGTGCGTGTGGTAGGTGTGGGTAGGGAGGTGACCTGAGGAGCTAAGACCTTCACCTCTTCTTTGGGACTGGCCTCTTCTTTGGGAGGTTAGTTCTCCACTTGTCAACCAGGAGAGTAGGGATGGTTAAGAACACGGGTGCTGGAGTGACACTTCGTAGATTCAAGTCTCAGTTCTCATAATAGTTGTGTGAACTTCTCTTTCCTCCATCGGAAACACTACAACAATAGCTTTCTCATAGAAATATTAAAAGAATTAAGTGAATGCTGGGGATTGAATCCAGGATCTGATTCATGCTAATCAAGTGCTCTACCATTGAGGAATACCACTGGCCCCTTAGACTCAGGTCTTTGTTACTGAGCAAAGATGGGCTGCCGGGCATGGTGGCACATGCCTATAATCCCAGCTATTGGTGATTGAGACAGGAGGATTGAGAGGATTTATTTTAAAAAAATAAAAAGGGCTGGGATGTAGCTCAGTGGTAGAATCCTCCGGGTTCAATCCCAAGTACTGTATAACACAAGGGAAGTCACATGATCTTGCTGGTGTGAGTCTATAAACTTGAGGGTAGGGGCCCAGGTTATCATTTCTGACCCATCCGGGCTAGCCATGGTCTGGAGACACGTGGTAAATGCTTGCTGAACAACTCTGAATGCACTTTCGTAGAAGGCATAGATTCTTTCTGGTCTTTGATGGCTCACATTAAACCTAAAGGTCACTGCTTCCTGCTAAGAAACCACATCCTGGTGCCCTTATCTGGGAGTGGAAGGTAAGGGTTAGTGAAACTGATGATGTGGCTTGTTCCTCCTGGGGTGGCAGATTTGGGCCTTCTGTTCTCCCAGAGTTAGCTGCTTGGGATATAAGCTCAGTCAGCGGTGACAAGAAATAAGCCCAAGTTCCTTTGCCAGGAGGATGTCTGGGATTTGGCTAGGGCTTGAGTTTTGGTGACTATAGATGACTGAAGGCAGGCTGTGGTCCCTGCCTTTCCTCAGGACAGGGAGCTGTGGTTTGTTCTTGGAGGCCTGAGATGGGTGGAGGGATCCTGAAGGAAGCACAGCCTGGGCTGCCATGGCTTGGGGCTCAGCTCTGCTCAGTCTTTCTGCAGACCTCTCCTTTCCAACTCTCAGCACAACATAGGTCCGCCCTCCTTAAGCCTCCCTTTCCCTCATTTTTGCCCAAACTGAAAAGAATATTGGCTTTGGAGTCAGACAGACCAGAGCTCAAAACCTAACTCTGCTCTTATCAGCTGCAAATCCTGGTGGTCATACACCCCCTTCTGAGCTCCATTTCTGTCTTGAACTTTTGCACCTTATGAGAGTCCTGAGGAAGCTCATGTGACTTTCTTTGAGGAAAGTATTTAAGAAAATTCAACTTAATTGAAGAACAGTCAATTGAATCTTTGTATCAACTCTCTAAAAAATATGATTAATTGTATTTCCCCTTTTTATTAAAAATTATTTTCAAAAAAATTTCACTGGATTTCTTTTCCATATACATTTTACAATAACATTTTCATTCATTGGACAGTCTTTGGTTCCTATCAGATTTTTCAGTGGACAGTTCTGACCCTGAATGGTGAGCACACTTCTACCCGCAGCCATCCGTTATTTTAAAAGATCTAATTTTCCCAGATCAAATTTTGTTGCTCTAAGTTTTATTAAGAAAATGATTTTTCTGTTAGTTTCTAGTCATTAACAAATTTTACAATGTGCAGTTTTAGCAAAGCTGATGGTTTTTTCTTTTCTTTTTAGTGGTACTGAGGATTGGATCCAGGGCTTCATGCACTCTACCACTGAGCTATACCCTAGCCCTTTTAAATTTTGAGATAGGATCTTGCTAAGTTGCCGAGGCTAGCCTCGAACTTGCAATCCTCCTGCTCATTCTGAGTAACTGGGATTATAGGCATATGCCACCGCACCTGGCTCTGTTGGTTTTTCTATTGACAATATCCATCACTAACAATAGTGAATTGGTTAGAAGACAGAGAAACAATTGTTTCTTGGCTAATCTGTAAGAAATCTGGGACAATGTCTCTCAGTTACTGTTCTAAACGAAAAAAAAAATGTCTTTGGTGTCAAAATGATAAAGGTTCTAAACACCCTGCTTGGGAAGTTGAATAGAGAAATGACCTTTCTTGCAGGGCTGCTGAGATAAAGTGAAATAATTCCTCAGCACACAGTCTAGCAGTAGCTTTCAAGATATATTGGCTTCCTTCTCTGTGTAGTGATAGTTGGGTTGTGGGGAGAACTGGGGTGTCAAGCCTTTTACAGATGGTAGGGTGGGATGAGCTAGACTTGCAGGGAGGGTCTTCATCAGTGTGGAAAAGAAGGGGACCCTGTGCCTGGAATGATGGCTTCCCACCCGTTCCCCAGGTTCATCACGACTACAGAGGTCTGTCCTGACAATGCTAGGTTCTCTGGACCTTGGTTTTTCAGGATGGGGAATGGGACCAGAGATCTCCCGAGTTGGCTAGAAGCAGAGTTTTTGGGTAAAGGGTCAGTGAAGTAAAGACAATACTGACTTCAGTCTCAAAACCATAGCTGAAGAACCAGCTATGTAACCTTGGGCCAGCTTCTCTACTCCCCGAGTGCCGCCTGGCACTGAGCCCTAGGCAAGCCACACACAGCGTGGCTACTCTGATCCTTCCTGCACCTCTGTGAGGACAGTCTGTGGTCTCTATTTTATAGGTGGAAAAACTCATGCTCAGAGACTTGAGTAACTTAAGAAAATTACAAAGCTGGCAGAGCCAGGCCTTGGTCCCAGGGTGCCTCTGGAGCCTATGTTCTGACCGCCACTGTCCTGTCAGCATTCCGGAGAGTAAGGCCACGCCCAGCTGGGTGTCCATTGTCTACAGAGGCAGACCTGCTCTTTCTCTTGACTACTCTGGGAACATCCTGACAGTGAACCCTCAATAGGCATGGTCCTTCTGGCTCCTGGCCTGGTCTCTCTTCGGCACCTCTTCCAGTCCTCCTACCCTTGAAATCTTAGTTCAAGTTGACTTCCTTTCTTCTGGGAACTTTTCCTGGTCTGCTGCCACTGCTCAGTCTTACCAATGGTTTTCAGCCTGAAGCTGTACAAGTTCCACTTGTTGAGTGGAACAAGGCTGCCACAGGTCTGCAGTGCACAGGCTAGCCCTGCACAGGGAGAACGCCAATGGGAGTTCCCTGCCCTGAGAACACTGGTTCAGATCACTCACCCACAGAACTGTCATGAGCAGGTGGTCTGAGCAGGGAGGTGGTGGCAGAAAGATGGGTTCTGGGGCCACACAGATCTGAGTTTGAATCCTGGCGCTGTTGCTTATCAGCTGTATCACCAGAACAGTTTTTTTTTTTCCTTTCCTGGTACTGGGATTGAACCTAGTGGTGCTTTACCACTGAGCTATATCCCTAGTCCTTTTTCAGCCTCCTGAGTCACTTGGATTCCAGGTGTGCTTCACCACACCTGGACAGAGCAAAGTTCTTAACCTCTCTGAGCCTCTGTTTCCCTGACTAACCTAGGATTAAAAGAAAGAGCTAAATGCAAGTTTCTCTGGTACGTTAACACAGATAGTAACAAAGTTAACAGTTATTGAACATATTAAGTGCGAGAAACCAAGCTAAAAGCTTTCCACATGACCCCAGAAGGAAGGTGTTATTATCTTCTACCACAATGGTGAGGAAATTGAGGCCAGAGAGATTAAATAACTTGCCCAAGGTCATTGGGCTATTAAGTGGCAGAGTCTGGATTTAAAGTCAGGTAGTCAGATTCCAGAGCTTGCCCCCCCTAATCTCTCCCCATACTGCTTCTCTCATGAAAAAAGACAATGCCTCAAGATGCTTGGCAGGCCACAGCACCTGGCGTTACTCATCTCAGTACTCTTGACAACACCAGGATGTTACTGCTCACAAATAACCTTCCCAACAACAGTGGCAGTGAGAAACATCCACGGTTACTTTTATAGGTCCCTATAAAGACACTGTAGCCCAGACATGCTACAGTTCTAGTCCTAGGTCACCTTTAGTGACACAAGGGAAAGATTCCCTTGGGTTTTTGGGCCAAACCCGGCTCTGAATGACACCAAAGGTCATGTTCATATCCAAAACCCTGTTCTGGCTCCTGTGAAAGCTGCTTCATATGCTGCAGAGATGCCTTCTGACCTGATGGTGTGGGACAACGCCAGGATTCCCAGCACGAAGAAATACATGGACAGCAAGAGGTTGATGTACTCCTGGGAGAATATCTGAGGCAGAAATACAAAAAGAAACAGGAAGTTAGGATGCCTGTGGCCACAAGGAAACTATATATAGAGTCCCAGCTTCTCTTCTGGAGGTTGGTCTCATGCCCCTGGAGTCAGGGGACAGTTGGGAAGAAACCTCAGACAAAATCAGGGCACTCCTATTTTCTATGGCTGTGAGAAAAAAGGGTGGGACTCCAAGCCCCATCCTGTACCTCCCAAAGGAGTCTAGAGGCGTGTGCCCGTGACTGCATTATCTGGAAACAGGCAATTATCATTTGTGTCCAGAGTCTTGCAGACGCATGGATGGGGAGCCCAAGGCACAGAAATCTGAGAGCTGTTGGAGCTGCAGTACTTGCTCTTCCATATCTCCTCTTCCTGCCCCCAAATCCCAGGAGCCCTTACAGAGTGGCCATTACAGCCACCATCATGCTAGCTGCAAAGTATCTGGGTGCCCTACCCCACTCTCCATGTCCACTCCACCGATAACTCCTCCTGATAACTGTGGTGGGAGGTTGGGACAGCAGGCCCTGATAGCCGCATCCTGGCCACCTTATCGTCAGGTGAAATAGGACATATTCTCTGTCAAATGTTCTAAACTCAAGTGTCACGTGTTAAGTCTGGGCCTTGGCTATGTCATGTTCCTCCACACTTGCTGTATCCTTGCTGAATTTGCTACTGTGATGGTCTAACTGCGAGGGAATGATGTGCTCATCTGCAAGGGCAGGGACACTGGCCCTCTGCTCTCAAGTAAGGCTGTGATGGAATGTGTTTAAATGCCAACTTGATCACAGCAGTCTCCTGGTTAAATCCTTGCAGTGGCTTCCCAATGTTCCCAGAAGCTGGAGGCCCACACCCTTGCACTGGCCTCTCCTGGTGACCACTGTGGACCTCACCGCTCCTCTTCTATGTGCCCCAGTCACACTGGCTTTTGCAGTGTGATGGCTGTGTTACACCACCACCCACAGGTCACTTGGGCATGTACTCCTGGGCTGTTCTCTTTTCCCTTCACCTCGCCAGCCCTATTCATCCTTCCTCAGCCCAAGTTTTCCTTAGGTAGTCCCCCCAGTAATTCTGTGGACATTTACTGGTTTACCACGCTGGGCAGGACATTGTGCTGAACACTAGGAATATAGCTAGCAATAAGGTGAAGTGCCTGCTTGGAGTTCACCTGCCAGCAAGGGAGAAAGAATCTCAAAAGAAACAATGATCTATAAAGTACTGTTAGGTGTGCTGGCGCTAAGGAAAGCAAAGCAGGGCAAGGGTTTAAGCGAAGGGGCTGTTATAGTTTGGATATTAAGTGTCCCCCTGAGAAGCTCATGGTGGTGTAAACATGATACCCAATGCAGCAATGTTCAGAGGTGGAATGATTAGTTTATGAGAGCTATAACCTCATCAATGGGTTAATCCATTCGATGGATCAATTTGAGTGGAATACTGGGTAGCAACTGTGTGGGGAGTGGGGCCGGAGGAAGCAGCTCACTGGGGATGTACCCTGGGGATTATATTTTCTCACTGGCTCTCTCCATTCCTGGTTGCCATGTGCCCTGCTGCCATGATGTTCTGCCTCACCTCAGGTCCAGAGCAATGGAGTTGGCTGACCATGGACTGAACCTCTGAAAATGTGAGACCCAAATAAACTTCTCTTCCTCTAAGTTATCTTGTTGGGTATTTTGGTCACAGTGATGAAAAACTGACTGACATAGGGTGAGAGCTGCTACTTCAGACAGTGGCCATGGAAAGCCTTCAGAAGGGAGGACACTAGAATAGAACCCTCAGAGCGGGAGGAGGCTGTGGAGATGCTCAGGGAAGAGCACCCGAGGCAGAGGGAAGGGCAGGTAAAAAGATCCTGAGGTGGGTGCTTGTTTGTGTGTGTAGGGAACAGTAAGGGCCTGTAAGCCTGGGGCAAGGGAACAAGGGAGCGTCAGGAGGTAAGGCTAGGGAGATAGGAGGGAGCCAGACCCTGCGGTACCACGAAAGATTTCAGATTCACCTAAGTGAGATCGGTCAGCACTGGAGGGCTTTTGCAGTGTGATGGCTGTGCCACATTACCACCCACAGGTCACTTGGGCATGTGCTGGGACATGATCTGATGGTCTGACAGGATTCCTCTGTTGCTATGCAGAACAGAGACCCTGAAGGACAGGAGTGGAAGCAGAGAGCCCAGTGGGTGAGGAGGGCCCTGCAAATCCAGCAAAGGGAATACAGTGACCTGCATTGGGGGATGTGGAGTAAAGTGATGAACAGCAAAAGACTCCAAATCTGTTCTGGAATCAGGATCGCAAGAAGTGCACAGGGACTGGATATGAAGGATGAGAGGAGCAGGGACAAGGACTCCTGGGGTTTTTGGCCAAGCAGCTAGGTGGACAGAGGTGATCTTGTCTTAGATGGAGGTTTGGGCAGGAGCAGGGTTCACCCTAGGCGGGTTCTTCTGTGCTTTCCTGCCTCTGGGGACCTTGTTTTTACACCCCTTCTCAGAGGTTTAACTTCATATTTCTCTATGTGACTGGTGTCTGTCTCCACTACTCAACAAGATGCTCCTTGAAGGCAGGGGGGGTTGACTTTTTTCTTGCTACGGTGGTGTCCCAGGCACAGGGCCCAATGTAGCAGGCACTCAATAAATGCAGAAGGACTGAGCGGATGAGCAGTCCAGTGCCAGGCAGCATGAATACTACTGTAGAGGAGATACCTGGATTAGGCCTCATCTGTGGAGATGTTCTGTGCCTCACGCAGTGTTCGTCCAATGTGGGCTCCGAGGAAAAAAGCTTGCTCAGGCCACACTCGTGAGCTGGCTACTTTGACTGTGTGGCTATGGGAATTGAGCACTAAGACGCACTTTGCTTTGTGCTTTGGCTGCCAGAAAGTTAGAGCCATAACTGTGGTCCATTTCTGGCAAGAATACAAGTCTTTAAGCCACAGGGTCTGGGTAATGTCCTCACCCAAGACTTGTTTTTTCCTATTTCAACTTTTTTCTTCACCCCTTTGTTTTTCTCATGCCATTGGATTTTATTTTTATAAGCTGCCTAAAAGCAATTGGGTAAATGAGAGGAGATCAAGTAAATGCTATCATGTTGAGAAATGCTGTTGTGTTTTCAAACTTCATATTTTCCTAATGCTTCAACATCCCCACACACAGGCAGTGAGCACCCCACCCAGGTAACAGAGGCAGCAGTGTGATAAGGCTGGTCCCTACACAAGTTCCCCTTACTTCCCTCCCCAGACTGTGCCCTCGTGACATTTAAACACACCAATGACAATGATCCCCTCATGCCTGTGTTCTCTGCACTGATCTCCAGTGCAGGCACCTGCCCAGGGGTCCTTCTTCTCACCTGCATAGTTAAATCTGCTCCCTGGGACTTCTCCCCCATGGGTCCCTGTGTGCTGTGCGGTGCCTCCTTCTCTAGGGCTTCTGAGTATAATAGATCCTGTACTTCCACTCGCCTCTCTGAGCATTGAGTTCCTTGGCTGTGTTGGAATGATCCTTAAAGACTCTGCAAGGGGGAGTTCCCCATTTATCACACAGTTGGGGACAAGAGGGAACATTCTAAACCAGGCAGTAAGTCCTTCAGAAAGGCATATGAAATGAAAGGATCTACTACACTCACAGATTGGAGAGAGGGAGACTCTTGGGCAAGTGCCTTTATGGGGTCAAGGTAGAGTACACAAACAAAAGACTGGAGGGGATTTCCCTGGTATGTCTGAATATCTCGACATCAAGGTCAGGGGGGAGGGCTGGAGTGGGAAGTGGTGACAGAGACCAGCCTTAACTACACCTGGTCACCTGGACAGGATGCTTTGAGCTTGACTATGGGGATGCTGTCATTTCAGGAAAAATTCTAATGTCTAATGCAGTTTCAAATGCCAGTACAGCAACGAGAAGTGGGAGGAAGAAGTGGAGTAAGAGCCCTGTGGTAGGTGCTTCTGCTGTTAAACCAACCAGCCAACTAGCTATCAGGTTGAGATTCCTGAGGAGCCTGGTGGCTGCCCTGTCCGCAACTGCCTTTCAGAAATCTCCCCGTGGACACTGCAGAGGCAGGGGGTAGAGGTGGGACTGTGAAAGGGAGCTTCCCGCCCAGAGAGGAGGGTAGGCTGAGCAATGGCAGTCCTGCCTTAAAAAATGGTTCACACCCTCGGCTGTCAGATACTCCTTTTGGAGGGATCTGGCCTAAGGAAAGAATCCTAAATCCTAAATATATTAGGCGGTCTTGAGGCAAGGGACTTGGTGTCTTCCTGCACTGAGCACAACAGAGACTTGAGAAATCTGCCAAAAGCAAAGTCAGAAGCAACAGGCCCACTGTGCCCAGAGCCACAGAGATCTCTGAGGCAGAGGGAGAGGAAAGGAAGCAGAGGGAGACACACTGCACAGCTCTACTTACAGCAGCTCGACTCACTCAGACACAAACACACCACACATTAGACACACTAGAGCAGGCACTTCTGGTGGAGACGGAGATGAAGGTGGGAAATGGAGGCGGACATTAGGGGTGAAGTAGGGGAACAAACAAGATGGGGCACCTGAGGGTGGTATGCCGTGAACCAAGGCATTTGATAAGATATTCACCTGAGATCCAGGAAAAAAAAAAGGGGCGGGGGGGGGGGAAATCAGCAAATAGCCAATGCTCTTTGGTACATCCTTATTTTTCAGAATAAAAATCAGAATGACATTTTCTGTTTGAAGTGATGGGGGTATTGTAAGTCAACTGTGATGTAACTGCCTGTAGGCATATTCTGAAACCGTTAAAAACAGTAGTTATGATTGAACAATGAGATAGTGATGCAACAGGAAACAGGCATGAAAAATTAGGCATTTGCTTCATTTACAGAATAGTAAAACCCAAAAACGTGGATGCTACCTAACGCAGTGGACAGCACAGGGAAGCTAGCACGCTTGTAACTGCCAGTAGGAGTGGAAAACTGCTTCTTTGGAGGGCAATTTGGTACTCTCTCTCTAATTATAAAACAAGCCTCTGCTTGACCTGGGAATACTGCAGACACACTTGAAGAAAATTCGTGCATGTGCCAAATACTTCATGCCAAAATATGTGCAGGAAGACGTTCATAGCAGCACTACTCTGATATTCTAACAGTGGACACACATCCTAAGGGGTATAGCATATAACAGAACCACGGGCAGCTTAAAAAGAATCAGGTGGATTGGACTGTGTTGATATAAAAATACTTTCATGGTGAGAGCTATAGATTTGATAAATATACTAAAAATATTTTAAAAAATATAATCCTAGATCTATGCATAACAGAGCCACAATAAACTAATATTGAGGAGAGGATTATGGCTCATTTGTATTTTCTTCCCTCAAGCTGAAATTCTTTTTTTCTTTAAGGTGCCGAGGATAAAACAAACCTAGGCCTTGGGCATGTTAGGCAAGCACTCTACCAGTGAGCCCACCTCCAGCCCCAGAAAATAGTACAATTATATATATTAAAAAAAAAAAAAAAAAGTTTCAAGGAGAGTTTGCAGTAACATGAGAAAATGCTCATGATGTTATCAATGTGAGGTGAGAAAAGCAGCTACAGACTGAATACACCACGTGGTCACAGCCATGGAGAAACCATGCACGGGAAGAACGCGGAAGGACACACCTCCAAAGGGAAACTGTGACTGTCTCTGGAAGTGGGGTTTTGGATGATTGCTGTTTCCCCCTTTTTACTTTTCTGTGTATTCCAGGTTTGCAACACTGAGCCTGTGTAACTTTTATTGGGAAAATAAACCTCGATAAATTAAAAAAAAAAAAGGCGATTAGTATGGTAGAGGTAATGTCAGAGACAAAAGCTATACCCCAGCCCAACACATACAGTACAATAAAACCAAATTGGTATCATGAAACAGAACAAAAAAACTACATGGAGAAAAGAAATAGACTGGCAGGAAAGGTCCCAAACATGGACAATAGCTGTCTCTGGGTAGTGGGTCTACACGTAAATCTTTAATTTCTCCCTGCTCTTTATTTTCTAGAATCAAACATGCATGGCTCCTGTGATGAGAAAAATAAAACAAAAGAAAATAAAGTTATTTAAACCAAATGACAACACAGGTGGCAAACAACTTACTTTGAAAAAGAGGTAGAGCCCCAAGAGTGTGCAGCTGGCGATGATGGGGAAGCGGGCGGCATCCCGGCTGGTGATGGTTTCAGGCATGTCCGAGGCATTCTGGAGGAGAGAAGAGAGGCAGCGCTGAGTGGGGCTCTGGTCTGTCTGTCCTCTGTGGCTGGCTGCTGATGGAATTGGGTGTTCCAACAACTCATCTGGTGCCCTCAAGGCTTTTGCTTATGCTAGTCCTGCTGCCAGGGAGGCTGCCTGACTCCCCCTGGGCAAGATAATCTGATCCCCTCATTTTCCCATTGAGGACATCTGGACTGTGGTGAAGACCATCCAGAAGAACCCAGGGCATGTGTGGCATGTCTGAGGAGAAGAGCTATGACAGAGGCAGTTAAAGCATGTGACAACTGAGAAGGGATAGGGGGTTAGAAGACAGAGAGAAAAAAAAAAAAAAAAAAGGAAACAGGGCTGGGGATACAGCGCTTGCCTAGCGTGCAGGAGGCCCTGGGTTCAATCCCCAGCACAAAGGTGTGGGGTGGGGGGAACCCCAAAAATGAACCACTGGAAGAACTGAATATGGTTAAAACAAAACAAAACAAAAAAAAAACCACTATTACATTTATAAACGGCAGATGCTACTGTTGGCAAGAATGTGATGTAGGCAAAGGGACCGTTGAATGATATTTACATGAAAAAGAACTGAATGCAATCAAACTGACAGTGGAGTAACAGTGTAACATAGGATTTAAATTAGCTTCATAGAATTAATGCCAAAAGACTTTTCCTCACCGTCCTCAAAGGCCCAGCAAACACTTGCTGCCATGAAGCCCTTCCAGATTCCCCCACTGGGATAAGCCAACCCCCAACTATTTCATATCATAACCACCAAAATCCTAGCAAAGGCAAAACAGACACCCATGCCAAGGTGAAATTCTTTCCATAGCAGCCACAGGCTCGTCACAGTGTTCAGTATTCCACCGTTACCATGTCCATCTCATGAAGAAGGCACCAGCATTCCTGGGAGAAGGGATGCCATTCAGCTGTGGAATCTTGCCAAGACTTTGGCTCAGTGCTGGCTCTTAAAAACCAACAGGAGGGCTGGGTTTGTGGCTCAGTGGCAGAGAGCTTGCTTTGCACATGTGAGGCACTGGGTTCGATCCTCAGCACCACATAAAAATACGTAAACAAAATAGAGATATTGTGTTCATCTATAACTAAAAAATAATAAAAAAATATATATACATGTTTAAAAAAAAAAAAAAACCACAATAGGAAAAGTTGCACTGAGAGGGGAGCTACTGGAGGGGGATTCTGGCTCAAGGAGGTTCTTCTGCCCCAAGGTGGAAGACTGCAGAAGGGGAATGAGATGGGAGTACAGGGTAGCAGCCCAGGAAACCATCACTAGGAGAGGTGTGTTGCATCATTGGCTTGAGTACAAACCTATCCAGCCTTTTGGGGAGGGCAATCTGGCAGAATATGTCAAATCATAATTTTCACATGCCCAAGGAAATAAAAAGATTCAGACAGGAACTACAAATGACTTTTTAATCATAGGAAAAAAAAAGTTCATTTTTCACTTTTTTCCACCCCCTGAAGTGCTGGGGATCAAACCTAGGACCACACACATGCTAGGAAAGCTCTCTACCACTGAGCTACATTCCCAGCCCTTCACTCTTGAATTTGAGATTCTCCTGCTTCAGCCTCCAGAGCTGCTGGGGTTACAGGTGAGCATCACTATGCCCAGCTCCCACCTCTCCCTCTCAATAAGAGAACCTGAAATTGAAGTACACTGACATTCCATTTTTCCTCATAATGGAAAAAAATCCACATTTTTGGTCTTCTGTAGAGATGACTTGGCAACACATGTCAAAACCAAACCACAAATGTGCGGACCCTTTAATCAAGCAAATATATTTCTGAGAATTTTTTTTACAGATGAAACTCTTATACCAGCAAAATGATGCCTATGAAGTACATCCAAGGTATTCCTGGCTGTTAATCGGTTGCTGGTGACTGAAGCAAGTCATCTGCATTCTGAGTACCAATTTGCTCATCTGTCAAACAGGAGGACACCCTCTTAACTTACTTCAAAAAAGAGCAAAGAGGCTTAAACCAAATGAGATGTGTAATGCCAAAGAGGTGGGCAAACTGTAAAGTACTGTGATCACAGGAGGCTGTGATTACTAGCGAGAGGTAAGTGAGGAGCCCCTTTGCAAACTGCTGTGTGTAGGCTGGGCAGCAGGCCCTCCCCTCTGGAGACGGGAGCTCTGTGTGAATCACTCTCCAGCAGCTTCGCTGGTGGGGGTGGGGAGGGTGAGCAATACCATTACCAAGAGGCCCAGTTTCCTTCCTTCTCTCTTTTCTACCAGGCTGTTTTTTTTTTTTTTAATTTCTTTCTTTCCTAGTTTTTGGTGGTACTGGGGATTGAGCCCAGGGCTTTACATATGCTAGGCAAGTGTTTCACCAATGAGTTACACTCCAAGCCCTTTTATTTTAGTTTTTTATTTTTTGGTACTGGGGATTGAACCCAGGGTTGCTTAATCATTGAGCCACATTCCAGGGTCTTTTTTTATGTTTTATTTTGAGAGAGGGTCTCACCAAGTCCTTAGGGCCTCACTAATTTGCTGAGGCTGGCCTTGAACTTGCAATTCTATTGCCTCAGCCTCCCAAATTGCTGGGATTACAGGCATGTGTCACCACGCCCAGCCCTTTTATTTTATTTTTAGGCAGAATCTCTAGGTGCCCTGGCTGGCCTTGAACTTGTGGACCTGCTGCCTCAGCTTCAGAGCAGCTGGGATTACATGCATGAGACACACCATACCTGGCTTAATTTCTGCTTTTTTGGCAGCAGTTTGTGGTAGGACTTGGGCAAATGCCTCAGCCTCTCTGTGCACCTCCACAAATTGAATAGATTCCTTTGTGACAGCAGAGTAGGTACAAAATAAACCAGACAGCTCCTGACCTTGGAGTTCCCAGGAAGACAGGCCAAGACCTTGACAGGTAAATAGTACAGTGACATAAAACAAAACAAACATGTATACTGATGTGTGATGTGATTCATGGTATGAGTGCAAAGTGGTTAAAGGAGGGCTGAGGTCAGAAGTCCCACCAGGACTCCAACTGCACTCCTTCCCAGCTGTGGGACCTTGGAAGGTGATTTTTCTCTCAGAGCCTCAATTCCTCAGTTGTAAAATGAGTTGTGAGGATTCCCATTTCTGCATAGGAAGTACTTGAGTAATCATTCAAGTTGTATATACTATTTTTTAAAAATTTTTTTTTTTTAGTTGTGGATGGACACAATATTTTTATTTATATATTTTTATGTGGTGCTGAGGATTGAACCTAGTGCCTCACTCATGCAAGGCAAGTGCTCTGCCAATGAGCTACAACCCCAGCCCCAAGCTGCATACACTATTCATATCACTTTTATGAATGAGGGAATCATGAGTATACAGGGAAATAAAGGAGTGTCAGTGGTGCCAGAGCAGATGCAGCTTGAAAGCCAGGTATGCAGTAGAACTGACTGAGTTGAGGAGTTTTGCTTTGTGCACAAGGAAATGAAGCACTTATCAAGCAGAGACCTGCATATACAGAGGCCCAGGGCTGGGAAGTACACAAGGGCTTTTGTAACTTCATCTATAAACCACTGTTAAGGCTCATCTTCACAGATTCCTTCCAATTCAGCCAATACCTGGAGAGGAAGAGGCTTAACGTTATTTGATGACAAACTAAGGTGTGCAGATGCTCCACCTATCAGAGAAATCTGGTCTCCTCTGTGGGTGACTGTTATAAATATCTCATGCTGCAATGGTGAGTCAGAATGGGAGACATCAAATCTGACCAGCAATATTACTAATAAGGATAACGTTTATTGAGAACTTTCGGTGTGCCAAGCGGTGTTTTACATGACCTCATCCTCACAAAACAGGTACATTTTACAAGTGAGGAAAATTTGCTTAGTGTAACACAGATGGCAGGCAGCAGAGCCAGGATTCAAACTGTGGTGGTCTGTTTCCAGAACCCAGGCTCTTGGCTACCATTTACTAGACGACCTCTCTCTTTCCTCTCTGGAAAAGCCTGCTGGAAAGTTGTGATAAGCAGCAGCTCAGGAAGCCTGTGACCTTCCTAAGGAACAGAATCCTGAAGGTAAAAATTAGCTAATCCTTTCTGCCCTTTTTTTCTTGTGGTACAAAGGATTGAACCCAGGGGTACTCTACCCCTGAGCTACATTCCAGCCCCTTTTAAAGTTTCATTTTGAGACAAGGTCTGGCTAATAATGGGAAATAATAAATATATAAAGATATTAATTTCAGCATGGTTTGTAACAGCCAAAGACTCAAACAACCTAGATGACCACAGACCTCCTAAGCCAATGTTCTCCAATTTGGGTGTGTATCAGAATCATGGGGGTGGGGGGGAAGCTCTGTTAAAACACCCTCTGTTGGGCCCACCTTGAGTTTCTAATTCTGAATCTTATTTCTCACAAGATCCCAGGTGATGCTGGTGCTGCAGGTCCAGGGACTACCCTTTGAGACCAGTGCTCTAAACAAAATGAGAGGTGCAGGTGGGATACCACAGCTGTTAAAGAAGAACAAGAAACTGGATGTGGTGGTGCACGCCTGTAATCCCAGCAATTTGAGGCTGAGGCAGGATTGTAAATTCAAGGCTAGCCTCAGCAACTCAGCCTCTCAACTCAGATTTGAGACCCTGTCTCAAAAAGAAAATAAAAAGGTCTGGGATGTAGCTCAGTGGTAAAGTGTTCCAGGGTTCAATCCTCAGCACAACAAAAACAATAATAATAACAACAGCAAAAAAAAAAAAAAAAAAAGAGAGAGAACATGACCATAACATACTGACATGATTAGATCTCCAAAATATATTCAGTGAAGAAAGCAAGGTGCAGAAAAGACTGCACACATAATAAAATATAACAGTTACATAACAAAATGGGGACACATGCTTACTTACTGTACAGTCTCCCTGGAAGGATATTTAAGAAACAGGTGACAGGGGCTGCTTCTAGGGAGGGAAATTGGGCAGCTGGGGTGGAAGGAAACTCATTGTGCACCTCTGGATACCTTCTAAATTTTGTACCAGGGACAAACATTATCTGCCCTTCCTAACATGAAAGGATGAGGTAGATCTGATATAGAAAAATGACTAACATATACTGATAAAGAAAAAGAAATCAAATTGCAAAGCAATACTTATAATGCCGTTGTTATAAAAATAAACCTACCATGTATATATACACAAGCACATACTTATGTTTGAATATACACAGAGAAAGTTCTTGGAGGTGGGCTGGGGAGGTAGCTTAGTGGTAGTGCATGTACTTAGCAAATTCCAGGCCTTAGTTTCCTTCCCCAGCACCATAAATAAAAATAAATAAATAAAAATGCTCTGGAAGGTTACACTTCAAACAGCTAAGTGGGCTACTTCCAAGGAATAGTACTGAGGAAGCTTTTCCATTATGTTTCTGTACTGCTTGAGGGTTTTTTTTTTTAAAACAAGTTTATAGTTATTTTTGTCACTACCAAGTTTAAGCACTGCCTTGGGATTCTGATCCTCAGAAAGGCTATGTTCCCTGGGTATCTTGTCTTGGCATCCACGTCCCTCTCCTGGCCTCAGGTCACACTTTTCATTGTCCCTGCTCTGTCTACTGAATTCTCACCTACTTCTGTAAAGTCAACTGCAGCCTCCCCTAGGAGACACACGAGGGCTCAATCTAGTTGACTCAGCACACACCTGTGCATTAATGGTGACTGAGGTCTGTTAGGAAGGCTCGGCACTCCTGCGACCTGGTTCCGAGCAGATGCCTTGTCCTGTTAGTTGAGGGGCTGCTTTGTTCTACAGGCCAAGGCTGCTGAACCAGCTGCTTGGACAGAATTTGCTCCCCTCAGGAACACAGGTCTTGGACAGGGGCGTGCACAGCCCTTCTCTGCAAACCCTGCAGTTGCTGGTATTACCGTCACAGACCCTTGTAGGCCACTTCTTCACAGCACTCCTGCATCTCCACCTTCTTCCTGGGATTTCACAGTGTGCCCTGGACACATAGACCCCTGGGCAAGTCTGTCTTCATATGTCCTCTCTTAGGTGGCTTTATGATCTAACATGAGTGGAAACCCAAAACTCTTGGGCCCCCACACTAACTCTTCTCCCTCCTTGCCAAATGACCAAGGAAACGATGCAGGGTGAAAAAGTGACTCTCCCCAGGCCAAAATGCTACTTGTGTGAGACTTTAGAGGCACCTGTATCCAAAGATAGTGTACTGATCTGAGACTAGGCACACCTGGTTCTGCCCCTATGAGGTACAGTGATCTTAACAAGTCATTCTTTTGACCCTTGATTTTTCTGTACAGTGGGAATAAAACTAGCTCTATCTGCCACACTGAGGTCTCTGAGTATTGAAGTGGGTAAAGATTTTATAACTTTAGAGCATCCTGGTTATTGGAGGGAGAGGCCATCAGTGAATGGTCAGGCCCCATTTGTAAATTTCATAGTTTTCCAGCCCTGCAGGAGATGTTTCGGAGAGGCAATTAGACAAAAGCACTTTAATCCACACTCTCTGCTCCAGCCACACCAGACCTTCTGTGCTTCTGTAACTGCTTTGTCTCTTCCAGGCTTCCTACCTCTCACTTTCCTCTGTTAGAATGCCCTCTCCTGGCTGGAATTCTACCTCTCCATCAATGCTTGGGCCTCCCTCCACACAAAGCCTCCATGCCCTGCTCCAGACATGCGTGCACAGCCTTTCTCTTTCTCTGCAAACCCTGCGGTTGCTGGTATTACCGTCACAGACCTAGTTGTCCTTCCCTCATCCACACTCCTGAACTCCTTGGTGACACTGCTCGACCTACACATCCCTGCAGCATCGCTCCACTGTAGACAATGGCAGAAGTTCGGGAAACACTGTTTCCTGGAGGTGTTTTTGGAAGGGACGAGCGATCCCTGTGCAGAAGGTGCTAAGGAGAAGTGTTCAGACAGTCTGGGAGCTACTCAGATCAAGCTGCTCAGCCTCCTGCCACACTGCCCTTTGGGTCCTTTGTCTTGGTCTATTTCTGAACTTCTCTCTGTACCAAGGGTTTGCTAACAGGCCTGGTATTGAGGATAAGGCCACCTGAACTCTGCTTAGCAAAGGCAGAATAGAAAGAAAAACAGGGTCACACTGAGCCTCTCAACCTAAGCCCTAACAGTTCTCCTTTGCATCTGACCACAGAGAGCCAGTGGTGGGTTCTCTGTTCTTGGGAAAAAAGGCGGCAGCCTTCAGTCACTGCTTAAATTGGGCAGTGTTTTGAGAACCTGAGCCAGAGCAGTTTCAAAAGTGGCAGCTCCTTTGTGGGCCTGCTTCCGCTTGGGTCCATCTTCAGGTCTGGTGGGGGAGGAGCAGTGGGGATGCTTGTAGATTAAGAGGCTGTTAAGGAGGAGAGAGGGTGCCAGGAAATCAGAAGCCATTGGTTCCAGGGACTAGAGAGGGCTTAATATAGGGAAGAAGTGGGGGTGGGGAGGGTGGGAGAGAGGAAGGAAGGAGGAGGAAAGTGCTAGAGTCCTCTTGGGTATCCAATGGGACCAATATTAAGGAAGGCCAAGGACTGGCCAGTTCCTCAGCAGGTAGGCCCAACTGGATGGAGGGACTGTCTTAGGGGAGACAGGGAGAAAGGATGCTTTGAGGTAGGGTCAGGGGCTGGGTGGGAACAGAGTAAAAGGACTGGGTTTTAGCTAAAGACAAATTTGAGTGGTAGTTAGAGGAAGCCAACAAAAGAAGTGGTCTAAGCCTGGTTAAAAAGTAGAGGCATCAAGGTGCCAGGTCTGAAGAGCTGGCTGGAACTGGTTCCAGAAAGTAAAGCAATAGTCTAGATGCTAAAATGGAGCTATTTCCTGGGTTCATTTTTTCATGGCAGGGGCTAGGGCCTGGTCGGAGAGCTTCATGTAAGTGCCCACATGATATTATTTCATTGAGAAAGGAGACGGAGCCTAGATATGGGTCTGGATGCTAGAATTAGCCCTGGGGTGGGTAAGGCAGGGCTCCTGATAGAGGGATGACTAGAGATGGTACCACTTAATTCTCAGGACTATTATTACTCATTAGGTACAGATTGGGGTTGACCCAGAGCCCTGGATGGGGTGACTGTTCCAGCTGGGATGAGTATATGTTGCTGCTGACCAGCGACAGCAGAAGATGGGGCTGGGCCCAGAGCGAACAATCAGCGCCGGAGCGGCGGTGTGAGGGGCGGCTGACCGTGGCTGCCGCATGATGCAGACAGAGAGGGATGTGTCAGGATCTAGGCAGGGGGAGAAATCAGCTCCCCTCTGAGGAAGGTTGGGTAGAGGGTCGGTGCCCAGATCCGAGGACGCCGCCAAAGGCCAGCCCCGGAATGTGGGCGCGGGTGGAGGGGACGGTGGTGATAAACCCTGGGGCCGGTTAGTGACCCTGGCGAGGAGTTCCTCCAAGAAAGGGTCGGATGGGAAGGGTCCATGCCAGCCATGAGGGTGGGAAGGCCCGGATTAGCCGCCGAACCTACCTTGCCGCGGGCACAGCGCACCGAGCGCAGGGCGCCAAAGAAGATGGGCAGCAGCGCCATGAGCAGGAGGCTGCCGTAGGCCAGCGCGATGCCCTCGGGCGTGGAGGGCGGCCGCGTCGTGCCGTTGGCCGGGCCGCCTGACTCGGCGCTGCCGTTGTGCGGGTCGCTGAGGGCCGAGTCCATGGCGAGGCTGCGCTCGGGCTCTCACTCCAGCTCCGGCCGCTGCAGCAGGTACGCAGACGGAGGGACGGCCGCTGCGGGGAAAGCCACGTTCCCCTAAAGAAACAGGAAGTGACGTGCCCCCCTCGCCGTTCAGCGCCGCGCGCGCGCCCCGACGCCCACGCGCGCGCGCCCTCGTCTCCCCGCCCGCTCGCCCTCTAGCGGCGGCGGCCGGCTCAGAGGCCGGTTGCTGAGCAACCTGATGGCGGCGGGGAAGGGAACGCTGGACCACTGCAGTCCTCGTCCATCCTGAGAGAGACCTGAGCACTCATTTCCTAGTTCCAGTGGATTTCTTCAATCCCACACTGTTCTGTTCTCCACAAACCTTCGTCTCCAACTAAAAATCTTGTTTATTTATGTGTGCATTCATCCAATATTCCGTTGTTTATTCATTTCTTAAATATTTACTGGGTCCCACAAAATGCCACTCTCCTAGCATCTGGAGACACTGATGGGAACAATACAGGCAAAAGCTCGTCCCTATTATCATGAATCTTGCATTTTAGTGAAGTGGTGTGTGTGTGTGTGTGTGTGTTAGGAAGAGAAGAAGTGAAATAAATAAAATAGAAAGTCTGAAATATAACCTTTGAAGATGGAGCTGGGTGAGGCCCACGCCTGTAATCCCAGCGGCTTGGGAGGCTGAGGTAGGAGGATTCGCGAGTTCAAAGACAGCCTCAGTAACCTAGCGGCACCCTGTCTCTAAATAAAATATAAAAAGGCTGCGGATGGAGCTTGGTGGTTAAGACCCTCTGGGTTCAGTACCTGGTACCAAGTAAATAAATAAACAAAGATGCCATGTATAATTATGTATGGTAGCATGTAAATGCAGATAAATAATCTGGAGAAAAATAAAGTAAAAATGAGAGTGGGTAGGGCTTTCCAATGTATTAAGTACCTACCATGTGCTAGGAAATAATAATCCCCTACAGTTTATAAGCTTATATAGTTTAAAGCATCATGGCTCTTATCACAATTAGAAGAAATTACTTATTTAAGTTATTTTTAATAGTGGTTCTTAAAATAGAAAATATATGCTCAAAGTGAAAATTCAAAAGTACACAAAGATAAGAAAGACTCCTTCCCTTTTTTAGGTTCCTGCCTTACCTTCCTGAAGGCAATGGGCCTTAATAGTCTCTTGTGTATCATTCTAGAACCGTTCTGTGCATTTACAAGCAATTTGCTGATCCTTTTATTTAACAAATCAGTATCGCGTATCTAGCACACAGTAGTGCTTTGCCGAACTCTAGGAACTGTAGGGCTATTCATGAGATAAACATGGACCTGTGCAGTGAGTAACATAAGGACACCATCTTAGGTTGGTGCTCAAAGGAGATCTGACACCTAAAGGGGAAGGGTGGAGCCGGCCAATGTAAAGATGCGTATGAGGGTCCTCAGGTGAGGAAGGGTGCTATGAGTTAGAGGAACCAAAGGATGTTTGGAGGAAAGGGGAAAGAGCCGATGGTGACAACAAGGTCAGATTGGCCAGTGTGAATCATGGTGCACTGGGCCTGGTTGACTGGCATGGATTTTATTCTAAGAGTAATGTGAAGATAGTCTAGCATGTCATGCAGGGAAATTATATATTTTTGGATCTGGAATGTCCCCCAAAGTCTCATGTATTGAAGGCTTGGTCCCCAGTACAGCCAGTTTCCAATATAGGGCTTTGGGAAGTGAGTGGATCCTAGCACTCTGATCCCAACAATGGCTCAATCCACGGGTGAATTTGGAGCTGGATGGCCTATTGGAGGTGGTGAAGACTGTAGGAGGTGGGACCTTATTGAAAGAACTTGTTCCTTGGGGGTAAACTACATCTCGTCCTCCTCTCCCCCATTCTTCCTGGCTGCCATGAGGCGAGCAGCTTTCCTCTGCTACACCTCTGTCTTCCAAGATGTTCTGCTTCTTCTCATCCCTAAAAGCATTAGAGCCAGCTGATGTGGTTGGAAACACTGAAACTGTGAGTCAAAGTAAACTTGCTCTTCTAAGTTGATTTCCTGAGGGATTTCGTTATAGTGCTACAAAGCCGACTAGCACAACATCCTTACTTTTATTTGGTAATTATTTAATATCTGTCTTCTCTGCTAGATTTTATGCTCCATGGAGGCAGACAGACGCCAGGTCTCTAGCATCCATTGATAAACTTCCATCACCTGAAATCATGCTTGGCTCTTAGTGGGCACTTGCTGAATGAATGAATAAACATATCATCTTAATTATTTTTTCTTTTTCTTTTTTGGTTCTGGGGGTTGAACTCAGGGGTGCTTTATTGCTGAGATACATCTTCAGCCCTTTTTAAATGTTTTAATTCTGGGACAGAGTCTCTATAAAGTGCTTAGGGCCTTGCTAAATTGCCAATTCTGGCTTCAAACTCGTGAGTCTCCTGTCTCAGCTTTTCGAGATTGCAGGCGTGCGCCACCATGCCCGGCTCTTTTGATTGTTGAAACAAATTGACATAAATAGGAAATTCCTGAGGCCTCTGATTATGCTACTGCTGCTCTACCTAAGGGAATGTGGTGAAAGAAGGTGGAGGAAAAACTGGAGAAACCTGCGGCCCGAAGAGACCTGCCATTGGAGAAACCCTGGTCCAAGCAGTGGAGAAGAAAGTTGCCCTCGGGGACCTGACAGCAAGTCAGCCTGGGACTCGGAAGGGAAGATACACTACTGAAAAGGCTCAACACAGTCAGCTGCCAAAGGGAAATATTTACAGAGCTCAGATGGATTATTATAGAGCAGGCAAAAAAGAGGGCACTTAGAACTGAGCCATTAAGTTGAGGCAGTAACTTGATAATCAGTACAGATGGTGTAAAATCCCGTGGCCTAAACCAGGCTGGCAAGGCAGTGTGCGTCAGGCACCGTAGCAGTAACTTTATGCATCTTCATCTGTAGGAGATGATTGGTCCCAATTTATAGATGAGAAAACTGAGCCTCGGAGAGGCAAAGTTGCCTGCCCAGGTCACAAAATCAGCAAAGGAGGAGCAGAACCTTGAACTGGTCTGTAGGCCTCCAAGCCTCTGCTTTTTCCAACATTCCAGCTACACAGAGGCTAAGGAGTTTGGACCCAAGAGAGTAATGCTGATCTGGGCCGGGTGGTGTGGTTTCAGTTTTGCGATAAGATGGACATGGCTTGAATGGAAGAGTGGAAGGCAGTCTGCCTTGTGCATTCATATGTTATGGTTTGTTTCTGAAATATCCTCCCACCAAAATTCATGTTTTGAAGTTTGGTCCCAGGGCAGCAGTGTTCAGAGTTGGTACCTTGGGGAGTGATTGGATCATGAGAGTTCTAACCTCATCAATGCATTAATCCATTGATGAATTCATAGCTTACCAGGCTATTTGGATGGAGGTGGTAGACAATTTAGGAAGTGCGTCTAACAGGAGGAAGTAGGTCCCTGGGGATGGGCCCTGGAAGGGGATATTTTGTCCCTCTCTTCCCTCTCGCTGTGTTTTGACCTCCATGAAGTAAGCAGCTTTGCTTTCCTTGCCATGATGTCATGCACCATAGCAGTAACTTTATGCATCTTCATCTGTAGGAGATGATTGGTCTCTCACCACAGGCTCAGAAACAATGGAGCCCAAATGACCATGGATTGAAACCTTTGAGACCACGAGCCAAAGTAAATCTTTCCTTCTTTAAGTTGATTTTCTCAGAGTTCTTTTTTGTTGTTGTTACAGTGATGGAAAACTGACTAGCACATTCAGTAATTCAGGTCATAGAATCTGCCCAGGAGTAAGACTCAAGAGTCTCCTCATCCGAGAGCAGAGAACTGAAAGTTGGAGACGCTTCTGCTTCCTGCTGGGCTGCGCCCTTAATTTGGTTAAGCCTGGAGCAGATCTGGCACCTCTCCTTAGACTTCAAGGCAGGAGACTGCGCACATGACCCAGGGAATCAAGGAGTTGACCTGGGTTCAGAAAGCTACCGTGGAGGCTTCTGTGTGGAGGGCTGGTTTGCTGGCTTGGAGCCCACTTGTCTTGATATTCCCTGGAGATGGGAAGGAGGCAGTCGGAGCGTGGGTGCTCTAAGGTGAAGTCTCCACATGGGATTACTTTCTTGGAAGAAATCTGAGCTGAGGTCAAGAATAAAACCTGTTAAGGTCTGGGATAGCTAAAGTACCAAACATTGTTCCAAAGTAAGATCCAGCTTCTATTTTCCCACTTATTGCTGTGGCCAGTACCATGGATGGATATCAGACTTTCCATTTTTTCCCTCATATATGTTCACACACACACACACACTTGCATGTACTATTACATTCTTGAATTGTTCCTGTAACGACAAACAAGGATCATCAGTGGATGCTAAAACCATTGGAACAAAGGTTGTTGAGGAACCTGATATTCATGCAGCCTCAGTGCCACCCCATAGATGGCTTACAAGTTATGAAGAGAAAAAGTTTTCCTACGATGAAGTGATCTGTGGACACTTCCTTAAACAGATGATCAAGCTTAGTAGCATCGATAATGGGACAAAATGATAAGATTCAATGGGTCGTGGGGACTACGTCACCTGCATAGTGCTAGACACGCCAGACCCTGTTAACCTGAGTTCTACCAATGGGAAAGATGAAGAAAAGTCCAAAAAATCCACATTGCAGCCTATTATACAAGGCAATTAGCTGGAACTTAAAAAAAAAATGTTACTGATTTGAAAGACAAACAAATCCAAAGCAAACAAAACCCCCTAGACCCAGGTGTGGTAGTGCATGCTTATAATCCCAGCAACTCAGGAGGTTGAGGCTAGAGGATCATAAGTTTGAGGCCAGCCTGGGCAGCTTAGTGAGACCCTGTTTCAAAAAAAAAAAAAAATCAAAAGTGCTGGGGATGGGGCTCAGTGGTAAAGTGGCCCTGAGTTCAAGTTTCAATCCCTAGTACTACCAAAACAAGCAAGCAAGCAAGCAAGCTAAAACAAACCACAGATTATTCTAGATGAGAAGAATTGAAGAGAAGTGAAAATCAAATGTATCTCCCTTGATTATATTATGGATCACAACATATTTTTTTAAAGATAGAGAGACGAGAGAGAGAGAGAGAGAGAGAGAGAGAGAGAGAGAGAGAGAGAGAATTTTTTAAATATTTATTTTTTAGCTTTTG